AAAATGCAAAAAAAGCAAGTCGGGACCCCTAAAGCAAGCCCGCCCAAAACCGGCGGGGAAATGCACCCCGGTGCAAAAAATTACACCGCCGGCACGGACGCGATTTTTTGGCGGGAAAATGCAAAAAAAGCCAGTCGGGACCCCTAAAGCAAGCCCGCCCAAAACCGGCGGGAAAATGTACCCCGGTGCAAAAAGTTACACCGACGGCACGGGCGCGATTTTTTGGCGGGAAAATGCACCCCGGTGCAAAAAGTTACACTTGCTTGGTTTTGGCGATTTTCCGGTCTTTCCCCCCTTGGAGCTTTTCGTCGATCCCGCGGCGGCACCCCGTGGAGCGGGTCGCTTGCTGGTTTTCGGGGTACTGGGCTTGGTCGAAACCGGTTTTGCGGAATTGGTAACCACCGAGACCGGTGGTGGAGTCGGTCCGTGCGACTGCGGCCGGCCCTGACCCAGAAGCGGATTGTCCGATAGCAGCCGGCCCGGGTTGTCCCTGCGCCCCAGCAGGCGGCGCCGGCTTCGGCGGTATGAGTTCCGCCATGCTGGTGCGGATAGTTGTGGCCAGCTTGCACTTGTGCATGTTTTCCAAGTCCTGAAGCAAGTCGGCAACCTGGGCTCCCTTCTTGGCAGGTCGGCATACTGGTCACGGCCCGACAGTTCCAGCATGCTGGGCGAGGCGGTAAACGTGTTGCGCGCCCCAGCTGCCCGCGTTGGGCAGACTCGAGACAGTGGTCCTCTCCGCCATGGACTACCTCAAGAACCACACTCAAAAACTCAATGCCCAGGCCGGATCCGATGCGATCCAAGTCATACAAAATCACGACCGACGGAGATACAAAGCAACATATAAATCTTCAGAAGATGTGTTCGAAACTTGAACGGGTCAGCAGGACATGGAAAAGTGCCTGGAAAACGACAACAGAAGATTGGAGATGGGTGGACGATGCGAACAATACGAAGCACGATTTTGCTCAAACTATACGAAACGTCAGTGAGTATGCGAAAAGATAACACCAGAAGACGAGAAACAGGACCACTTGAAGAATACGAAGCATGATTTTGATTGCCCACGAAAAGCTGCTTTTTGCAACGAATTAGGCCGATGCATTTGCAGGGTCTTCATTTCTAAACTTCTCTCTCATCCACCAGGATGCAAGGATGGTTCGTCGAAACTATTCATTGAAAAAGGACTACCATACGCACGCATAGATGGTTGGTCACAGCACCAATTAGTTTCGCAACAAATGGGAGCGACACGCATTTCGAACCAACCTGGCAAAAAAGTCAAAAGAAGGCGCAAGGCACCGAACAACACGCTTTGGAAATTGACAACTGGGCACCGACGCGTAAGTACAACGGCTTGCTGACATATTACTTTTCATTCATCTTCATGTCACCGTAAATAGTAACATCATTTTCGCTTCCACCTTATTTGCGCTTCTGGGGGGTGCAGTTCATTTTTTTCTCATCTGTACCCTCATATCTGTTGTGGCTTCATATTATCTGGGTTGTACCTTGTTCATATGACCTGGGTTATACTGACAAGAAGCGCCATGGCTTCTCAAGGTGAGCTTTGACGCCAGAGTCGCACAGAGGCAGAACCACTTCAAGGGCACGTGAAATCGAAACGTGGCTGGCTTTGAGATGTAAAACTCGTGAGAATTGGCAGCTCTGTAGTCGTAAGTTCTTTGCTTGTACCTGTTTGCAGCAGTGTCTTTTCTGGGCACAACTTCTGCACCTTGCTTCCTAACGTGTTTTAAGTGTACCGTCAAGGGTTTATTGCTTTTCATTTTGCAATATTGTCCTCTGTTTGCGAATCTTCAGAAAAGGATTGTTTCTGTCTGAACCTATTTGCTGTCCTCATCTCCTGTCAAGACTAAATCATTTACTTCCATCTACATCTTCATTACAGTAAGATTCTAATTTTGGGTCATTTGCTAGTTCTAATTTTGGGTCATTTGCTACAAGCTCAAGTCTGCGAACGCTGACGTTCGAGTTCCTCTTCCTGCTTCCATTAGTTAAGATAGTAATAAACTCGAGTGAAAAGTTGCTCTGAAAAATTCCTGCAGATCGCCATTGCCTTTTGCGACCTTCTCTTTCTGGGTTTTTCGCTCGCGTTCCCCGCGTTTATCCATTGCAAATATGCCTGGGTCTGCAGAAGTGGAACTTGCACGGCATGTCTTGCATTCTTGGAACATCTCTCTTGCATGGCCAACAATAAATCAATACGGTGGCTGTGCTTGTTTGTCATGCGCAGCTTTGCGAAATAAAGATATAGTCCGACTGAAATACAGACAAATAAAGAGAAAAAATGGGTTGCCTCGGTGCACTTGGAAGTGCCTCACTCATCCACGAAGCAGCATCACAAGTTTGAGTTTCCAGATCCAGACCCAGACATACTTGGCACGCATGCATAACGAAACGACTAATACATTTTGACATTCATTTACTTCTTGAGTTTCATTACAAGTCAATCGGCTACGATCTATTGTCATCATCGTCTGCTCTCCTGTTCATTTAAGATAAGATATTATTTGCGTTTTGCCCGGTCTGTTCACATTGAGGTTGAGACACGAGCGGAGGTGCCTACAAAATTGAAAAAGTACTCTTACTCAGAAACAGCTGCTGCATCAAACAATCCTTCTCCCGTAGGATCAGAAGATCAGCGCGACGAGTGCGGCAGGTAGCTGGTAAGACCGCTGTGCACATGCTCGAGGAGCATAGAAAGCTTTTGGTAACCATGCAGCGCATTGTTTCCCGCTTTCTTCGGGAAGTTCGACACTGCGAGATCCTCGTGGTGGCCGGTTTTGTAGTATTTGGTCAACTCGGCGTTCCAAAATCCCGCCTCTTGGATCTGAAAAAAAAGTGGAATTCAAGATCAAGCTTTAGGCGGGAGATTAGGCTCCCCCCGCGCCCTGGCCGGGAGGCTATGTCCCGTTTATGGCGCACAATTATACTGCGGCAAATCGGCAAAAAAATGTGTACATCACCTGTAGTACCAACGGCATGAAAAGCAAAAGTGGACGACTCCTGAGTATCAGTGTTCTACTCTCTTAAGCCCAAAACAATGCTTACTTTCCCACTCCAGGGCACATGGGTCGACAACGCCGGCACGTCCTTCCGGGATTTAGATGGACTCGCGCGTCCGTCCTTGGTTCCCACCTTGCACAAAGCTTTCGCATCTAGATAGACCTGATTGGGTCGTGTGTGTGTCTGTGTGTGATGTGTATACTCAAGCAAAAGAAGGAGTCCTGGCCTACAAATTCAAATATCAAACTGCCGGATGCTGCACGGTCAAAGTTGTGTGCCTGCTCTGGCCATCAAAAATTTGCTGAGGTACCTCATTCGGCAGGGCGTCTTCGAAACAAAACTTCTGGAGGTAGGGGTGTCGCTGGCCGTTGATACCCGCCAAAATGCCGCCCAGCGTGATCCGGAATTGGGCCTCCGAATCCAAGTCGATGTCTCTGAACATCGGGGCGTTCTCAAAATGCTTCCCCAGCTGTTCCGTAGTAATCCCGTTGAACTTGTCGTCGGAGAGGATCTTTTCCAACGCCTTGTCGGCCTTGCACGAGTCAATGTCCGGCAAGAGCAGCGTCATCACCAGCTTCTGCAGGCGCGGGGAAACCTTGTAGTTCTCGCAGTTCTCCTGGAACTTCTTGTAGTGGAGGTTGACCCGCTGCTCGAGTTTGGTATTCCGCGTGGTGATCGTACCGCCACCCGCCAACTTGCGCAGTGCTTGCAGGACCCGCCCCCGGACTGCACGCCACTCTTCCTGATCGGCCAGTTCGTCGCAGATGTACCCGGTTGCCGTGTCGTCCTGCCCCAACAAATCGAACAACACGAACGCGGTGTGAATGCTGTCACTGTGGTCACCATCTTCGTCGGTCAACCTGTACGCCTCCGTACCCGCGTTATCCCTCCTCTTGGTCTTCCTCTTGGACTTAATTTTCGTTGAACCAAAATCCAAGAATTTTACCAATTATCAAATGGTGCAAACATGTCTGGGTCTGGACAACTGTTCCAGAAATTTCACTTTGTCATACCACTTTGGTTTGTCCCAGGAGGTCTGGATTCATGCTTGCAGGGCGTCATCACTACAGGTTCTGTAGCGGCTCCTTCGCAATTGCAATGCCAACCCGGCATGAAAAATCTTCCCTTAGCATGGGCAAAAGAAGAAAGTGCTTTTGGTTCTTTTGCAACCAGTGCATTACAGATTCATGTGTTTCATCTGACAAAATGCACCACAAAGGCGCACTCTTCCAAACTCAGATCGATATTTGCATTTGATAAGGACGGCCCGAGCACGATTTCCACACTCTCGCTGCGCCCACTGCAGCCCTCTTCGGGTTGTAACGTCACGTTGACTTGGTCGGTAACGCGCGCGTTTTGCATGTTCACGACGCGCTCCGCCTGGCCGGCGTTCTTGACGCGGATCTCGTTGACCACGTGGCCCGGCGGCAATTTGTAGGCGTTGTGCGCCGTGTAGAACCTGTACAGAACGTGAATGCGCTGAACGATCGCCCATGCATTTTCCTTGAAGTTGAAGACGAGAAGCAGGAGCGCTCGCGTCCGCGATCTTTTTTCTACAACTCCCTACGATCATGCAGAACAAACACAAAGGGTTTTGCAAAATCAAGTTCGAAACAAAGAACAAATGGGGTACCTGACGTCGTATACGCCCTTTTCCTGTCGTTGCGCAGTTGTAAAAGACTTCGTTCCGGGGTAGATCATTTTCTTATCCAGGAGTTCCTGCACAGAGACGTTCTTCAGTTTGAAGGTCGCATTCTTTTTGCCGCACATCGCCGTATTATCCGGCTTGAGATCGCGGTGCCGCACAGACAGGGAATAACCCATGTACAGGAGGTTTCGCAACCACATTTCGATGAACGCAGAGATGTCGACCATGGTCGCGAGTTTCCGCAGGGACAGCCGCGCGGGTGCCTCCCGCTCCCCTTCTGACGGATCCGAATCCGTGTCCCCCTCCTCATCCGGCGCCCCCGGTTGGTTCTTCTCGCCATCTACTTTTGCGCCCTCGTTTTCAGCTGCGTGATCCGCATCTGCATCACCCAGTGTCGCCTGTGTGTATCGAAACGAAACGCCCACAACAGCCAGCAGGCTCTGCATTGCGTGCTTTCTACCCATGCCACTGCAGACACTGCAACCACATGCAACCTCCATCCATAAGACTCGACTACTGCAAGACAATTACATTATAAATATACAAATAATCATCCTTCTGCAGGTGGGTCGTGGTCGGGCACCTTATGATGCACATCCCCTGAGGGAGTCTGCGGCCTTTCCTCCAACTATTGCATAATCGAAAGACGAGGACTCCCACCCTTTCTTTCGTGTGTGGCAAGAACATACAAACAGAGCCTCGTGCTACTTGCTACGCATTTCATTTCGATAGGGCTTTCTCCATTATGACGTAGATGTTGAGCGACTTGTCACAGTAAGCAGCAAGTGGTGCAACCAGGCAGGCCTGTGTCGTTCGTTTGGTTTTTGGGATTTCATCTTTGTTGTCTAGTAATCATTCCTACTTAAACGACGGAAGCAATGAAAAACGTCTGTCTATTTGCAGAGCGCAAATGGCTCGAAGCAGTACAAATACATCGAGCGCCGCCTTGGTCGCAGCCTTGTTGTTCGGACCCAACAGCCCAAAGATCAACAATTCTCGTAAGGCCGTTAACCGGGTCCGCTCGCCCTTCATGTTCAGCTTCGCCGTGGGATATCGAATGCAAATATGTCTGGGTCTGGAAGATTGCGAGATTTGTGATGCACTTTTTGCTTTCTCCAAGCTCCACAGAGTGCGTAAACGTGGTGCAGATTTTAGCATCACAAGTTGAAGCTCTGCCGCGTCTTGGTAGTGCCTATAATACTGCATGAAGAAATTCATCCCCTCTCAGGGAGCAGCATGGCCAGAAGTAAGTAAGCATCTTTTGCGAGTCAGGCAAGACAGCTTTCTGTGTGACCCGCAACACGCATGAAAAGAGCCCATTCTTCCAGACCCAGACATATTTGCAGTGCGTACTGGGATCATCTTCACCATTAGATCGACGTCGCATGGCAATGTTGTCCCCTTTCCGCGCACCACGTACAATTGGTTGATTTCCTGCGTAACGCAGGGCTTTTCAAAGACCACCACGTCCGATATCAAAAACGGGAATGGAAAACGGCTGAACTCGTAACTCTCCTTTTCGAAGTTGAAGCTGACTGTCTCTGTGGACACGAACAGCATTCTCCGCTCCCGTTCCTCGTCGGCCATTGTATCTAAGTACCTGCGACAGGTTTCGTCACGTATAATTTGTTCCTCTTCCTCCGTACCAAAATGCTCCCGAACATGCCAGCAATACATGATCATGACTTCGTCCACAAAAGTATATGAAACTACGCATCACAGCACGCAGTGTACCGCCACCACGTGGCATGAAAAGAGGAGTATACCTGTCTTTTCCTGGCTTAACAACTCGTGCGGGTGTAGTGTTTGCGGACGAGTGTGGGTGTAGTGTTTCACGTACCCTGTCGTAAATTTTTTCAGTAAATGCGACCTATGATCGGCATCCTCAGACTGCTACCCACAACAGCTGCACCAATTTCAAGTATACTTTATGCATGTCATGTAAGTATTGCGCTATCACATCGAAGTCGAGCATAGAAGTACTGTAGAACGTCGCAAAACAATATACCTGGTCTCTGACCCGTTCTCCCCGGCCTCAACTTCTCCTCGGGCGCTCGTCTTGCTTTAGCTTTGTGGTCTAGCTGCCTCCCCTCTGCTTCTGTTATTTCATTTGGGGTTTCATTTCCGCAGACATCAGCTTGTCATTTCAAATTCGCACTGGCTGCATCAAGAATCACGTATGCGTATCCCAATACATTGTGTCAGTATCATTCCACTTCTATCGAAGAACGCAAAGCACCATACTGCCCTACCACTCCGGTGCGAGCCAAAGAAGACTTTGTGCTTGTTGCTGCGCCGCGCCGCGACGTTGCCAGAAACTCTCTGCGAGGAAGGGAACACCGAGAAGGCGCGCACTGTGCTGTACAACTTAGCGTGGTGAATGAAAAAAAAAACGCTTAAGTACCGTCCTAGATGAGTTAAAATGAAAATCAAACGCAAACCCCTTGTAAATCTAGATTCGTATTCGAAGACAACCGAAACATGACGAAGACGTTCCGCGACGCACGTGGATCCAGATCTTGTTCACGAGCATGGCAGATCTTGCTAGTGACCGAGCTACGAGAGAAATCGAGGATCGTTTTTGCCACGTACCTTTTTTTCCACGACCGAGCCTTTCGGCAATTTTCCAATGACGTCGATGGAACGAGTAGTAGCTACACGAGTCTATATATGGCCACTTTTCTTGAGCAACGAGCGACTATCTACTGAATGATCGGACGAGGGGCGTTATTAATGCGCAAGAATATTGTTGTCAAAATACTAATATCGATGCTTATAGTACAAAATCATAAATATTTTGCGCGAAACGACATACAGAAACATAAGATAGGGCCGATTTGAAGACGAATCACGATTTTGTTTTTGATCGTCAGCAGCTTTCTCTCAGGTTGGAACTACACACCTCTCGTCGGCAACAATTTGAACCAATTTGCAACAGTGATCGTTTTTGTTCTGTTCTCTCATCGACTAGTTCTATTCTACAATACTAGCGAGTTTGCGATTTTGCGACATTTGGAAAGCCGGCCCTATTTGCACTTTTGAGCAGTCGAACACTAGGAAAAACTTTAGAGCTCGAGAGGAAGAAAGAGGCGGAAGAGCCACCGAAGCGCGTCAAGTCAACATCATAATCTACTCATAGTTCACGTGAGAAAATTAATAAACCTGTGGTTGTCCCTGATATGGCGCGGGAACCAACGGTCTCGCTCTCTATACATTCTGTTTCTCACCGTCCTTGACGTAGGTGCTTTTTCAGCAACAACATTGACACCTTTTTGCGTATTAAATCAACATACTTAGTTTTCAGCGAAGTTCATTTCATTCTCGTCCAAAACACAGTCTTCTATTTTGCACCATTGCCACCAACCCAGTGATGTGCCTGCTGTTCCTACCTCCTCGGCGGGATCTATCTTTTTCTCACTGCAGGTCGGGCATCCGGAAGCCCACCCGGATGGTTATGGGCGCGTCCAGCGGCTCGTTAGTGGCCCGCCGGTGCCTGTCGACGGCGCGCAGAAGGTCCAACCACTATGACAATGCACAACTCGTCCCGCCCCTCCTTGTCATTTGTAGTTTTTGTTTTGCATGGGCAGCAATACAAACACCCTCATTATCATGTGGAGCCTGTGCATGACACGTTCTCGCGCATGCGCGTACTTTAGTACTGTTTGATCTTTATTTGCGGAATCTGTCATGCAAATGGTACCACAGGGCAGCGCTTGGATTTTTTGGTCAATCGCATGAGAAATGAGGGGAAGGGCGGGTACTACTCGCTGTGCACCCTCATAACCACGTGTCAGTTTCGCAGAGAATCCGCGGATTCCGCTCCTCAGCCGATGCTTCCGGCTCGCTCTCCCCCACGAAATCGTGGTCATCCAGCGGCACTGCGTCCGCGTTTCCAGAAATGCCGTCTGGGTGGTCATCGTCCTCCATCGGCACCACATCCGCGCAGCTACCGGCGGTGCCCGAGGTCTCGTCGGGCTGGTTTGTCCCGCCCGCGCCGTCGGAACAGCGGCCATTCGCGGACTCATCCTCCTCTCTCTCCTCGCCATCACTGTCGTCGCCATCTATGCCTTGCTCAGATGTTACAATCTCGAACGTTTACAATTATAAAAATCCGGATTTGTGCTGCTAGAAGAACTTCTCGTCAGCAATCACAAACACAATTTGACCTTACTGTGACACAGTAAGGTCAGATTGTGATTCCGCATGACAAGTGCCAACCACGTCAGAATTCTGTTCTGGTGAAATTTGCGGATGCAAAAAATGCAAGACTCTCTATGTTCCTCATGCTGTTCTTCATCCAAGGTAAATTCCAGACTCTATTGCAACGCTTTAGATTGTAACACCTGACAAGGTCATACGATCGCTGACGCTTTTTTCCTTCTCGTCCTCCGCTGGGGAAGGTTCCTCAAAGAGTCCGTCCACCGAGAAGGAGAGGTGCTCGAAAGTGCGGTTTTTGTAGGCAGCACGGTCCGCGGTCGGGACGTGAAGGGACTCGCACCAGCTTCTGGCTTCGTCAAAGTGAAGTTTCAGCAGCTGCTGCCCTTCGGGAGTCCGGGTCCCCTGCACAAGCTGTACTAGGGTGCGGAGCTCGCTGACGCATGCCTTCGCTTTCGATCTGGTAGCAACATCAGGGACGCGGAACTCGCATTCGCGCTCCAAGTTGGTCACGTAGACTGCTGTTGTGCCTCTTACCTTGATTTCGATGGCGTCCGCCGCGGGGTCGGGAGCCGCGTCCCCCGGAAAGATAACCTGCACGTCGGCATCAAGCAGTCCAAACGCGCCCAGCGAAGCGTTCTGCGAGGGAGATTGCGCCCCTTGGACCTCCAGCGAGATGAAGGTACCGGAAATGGTGTCTACTTCGAAAATAGCAACGGTGTGCTTCTGCTCGAACCTGAAGCGCGGTTTGACGGAGAACGGATCGACCCGCGGCAACTTGGATACTCGCCCAACAGGTCGTGCCCCGACGAGTTGACGCCGCGGCGGCGTCATGTTTTCTGTCCTCCACAAGACCTTCTGATCGTACATGAGGTGATGCAGTTTGTCATTTGTTTTGTCCCACCGCTGCTTGTCTACTTCCTTGGCGAAATTGAGACGCACTGAGCCAGCTGGTAGCCCCCACGCTGCTTCCATTTTTCCGGGGAGACCCTCCGCGAACTCTTGCGCCAAAATGTCAAGCTCACGAGAAAGCGCGTCGTGGAGAGTGTGCAGCACGTAGAATTCTTCGTGCAAGTCTCCGTATACACGAGCGCGATCTTCGGGTAAATATTAAGTTTGCTTCGCAATTCTGCGGCACTTTTTTTCTGCGACCTAAAGATAAGAAAATAACACACTTAATAGCTTCTCATCATGTCATCTCGTACTAAATACAATTGCAAAAATCTGAAAGAATGTACCCTCAAGAAGCTCGACAATCAGCTGCCGTCCACTCGCAATCACCATTCCCCCTACATTCTCAAGACGAAACTCCACGGAGGGTGCCAGAAGATGCGACTCCTTCGGCTCCACGAACTCCGGCTTGTTGTAGCAAACACAAGCACCAACCCGTTCCCCCGAAGAGCCGGACCACTTCGCAACAATTCGGTGCATGATGGAGGAGTGACTAGCTGGCTTCCCGCTGGTGGGTGCCGTTCGAGCTGCTTCCCAGATGCCATCTACCTCCTCCTCGTAGCAGTCCCGCACCCGCTGCAGATCGGAGATGATGTCGTCTAGCGCCTCGCGCGGCTTCTTGTAGCAATCTTTATTCGCCACCTCCCGAAGCAGCTTGTCGTATTCGACCAGTTTCTCCGCGCGCTGGTATTCCTCGGTCGTGGCCGATATGCATTGCAAATTATATCGATCTAGGTCTAAAAGAGCTCAAACTTGTCATGCTAAATCTGGAACCCGGAACCCTGAGGTGAGGTTGTCATGCTAAATCTGGATGGTGCAAAAATCTGTGTTGCGTGTCAATACCAAAATTTGCGCAGTTTTCTGACCAAGTTGAGGGGAAATTTCCCGTGCATGGTAAGCATGTTGCAGATCTACTCACGGAATCTGTCAACATGCTAGGTTCTGCATTCCAGACCTCCACCTCATGGTCATGGGTCGTGAAAAACCTGCATCATGACAAGTCTTGCATTCTACTTCAAGACCCAGATCGATATTTGCAGATGATAGACGAGGCTGCAGCGGTGTACTGCAGACACTTCCAAAGCCCCGGCTTCTTTTTGAAAGCGTCGTCGACCACACCTGCGGTCGGATTGCTCGTCGTGGTTCCAGAAGATTCCCCCGAGAGAATTCGTCCTGCTGTCTCATTGTGTCCTTCATGTTCATTGTCATCAGATGCCGGCTCAGTCTTGCGGAACCAGTCGTGTTGCAGACCCACGGCCGCCGCAAGCTTCTCCGCCACCTGGAAACTACAGGTCGTCAAATAAGCAGCGGGCAAGATCGTCAGTACGGCTCCAGGCTCCAGCAGGACAAAAGACGGCGCGGCGCCGAATTTCTTAGGGTTTGGTCCCTCGATGGCGCCCGCGAGTGGTTCGGTCAAAGGGTTAATAACATTGGAGGAAGATGATTTTTCGGAGGGCGCACTGGGGCGGACCGCACGCACCCTCTGCACCAACGCGTCATACGCCGGACTCCCTGGCTCCCACCCCATCGCGGCTTCCAACGCAGATCGCGTGAAAAACGCGCCTTCTTCAGGCACGGAGAAATGCCGGAGCTGCATGTCGGAAGCAGCCTGGGCGGCGGCGGTGGTAACGGAGTTTTTCACTTTTGAAGATGCCATCTTCATCTATAATTTCACGGAAAGGTCTTATTTCGAAAGAAAAACAAAACGGGAACTTTCTCTGAACAAAAACTTTCTTTGTGCCACAATTTTTGGGGAACAACGAGGGTTGACTGTATGCGAGCAAAAATTCCTTGTCCGAGTCTTTTCGATCATTTATTCTATCGAGTTCG